TGGCGAATGTTCCAGAGATAATGTGGCACCTTACGGCCTGTGTTGGCTGACTGGTGCTCGCTGAATTTGTGTGAACTTCGTGTTCAACAATTGGATAAAGTCACACGATAAAAAGGGCTGAAAAACGCGGAGTAATAATTGAAAATGAATTGATAAAGTTATAACAATGAATCTAAGCGGCGGATAAGAGCGTTTTCCTTCGCCGATTGTTTGAAAGACGGAAATGTTGATCAGAAAAGAACGTGACAGAAAGAATTAATCGATAAATTTGTATTTGTCGTATCTTGTGCATACGAGAAGTTAAGACAACCGTTTATAAGTTGTAGAACAAAATTATTGAATGTAGCGTGAATTTTTCCACGTCAGCGACAAATGAAGAGCGAAAAATCCTTTCAGTAAAATTATTGAATGTAACGTGAATTTTTCCACGTCAGCAACAAATGAAGAGCGAAAAATCCTTTCAGATAATACATTTTTTAGGAGCAAGACATTCGTATTTAGGTTATGAGACAGAATAATGTGCATATCTGTGGACTTAGAGAAGTGTGTGTTGTTAGGGAACTGTCAAAAGCTAAGAATGCCCGAAAACCCAGTGGCAGAGAATCATCATCATCATCATCATACCAAGTTAAATTTTAACAGACAGGACTGGAACCAGAACGCACTTGCGTTGATCCATTTCAATTCCTTCTATTTACATTTTATAAAACAAAATTCCGTGACGCGTGTATCAGGAAGCTCGTGGCTGAAATTGTAATGCAAGAGTTTACCTGCGGTTCGACGAACTAGCACGTGGAAAGAAACATTTCCCAGTTATTTTGTAACAGACGATGTTGGTAATTCTGTTTGTTAGTGCTGCAAAATCCACGTATTTGCATACGCACTCTGTCTCATCGAGTGGGTCACTTTTTTCACACTTTTGCCCTCCGCTCCCCGGGGTCCTCGCTGGTCAAAATCCTCACAGATAAGTCACACACGTGCTCTAAGTACACACATGACGTACCAATGTTTTTCTCACGGAGCTAATAGACCCTTGCACACACGGGGACAAAATCAGGGCGCAGTGATACGTATGTGAACAGAGACCCAAATGTTTAACTGTTATTTATATCAGGGGTGTGTAGAAGCCCGTCTGAATCGTATTTAAGAATTCAGTCCGTACCGCGAAGTAAACACCACACTTCACCATTACAAAGATCGACTAGTTAACGCTGTTTAAGGAAATAATCGCTGTTTAATCTGATAATTAATTAACCCTTCGAAGCCAAAGTTCGTCTGATTAATATTTAATAATCCAGTCCGTACCGCGAAGTAAACACCACACTTCACCATTACAAAGATCGACTAGTTAACGCTGTTTAAGGAAATAATCGCTGTTTAATCTGATAATTAATTAACCCTTCGAAGCCAAAGTTCGTCTGATTAATATTTAATAATCCAGTCCGTACCGCGAAGTAAACACCACACTTCACCATTACAAAGATCGACTAGTTAACGCTGTTTAAGGAAATAATCGCTGTTTTCAGCGAGAATCATACGAAACATAATTTACTGATAAATTGTTGAAGCAGGTGAGACGATCATTTATCACTGGGCTGTATAAAGGGTCATATCTGTCTTAAACCTTAATTTGCTTAGATTTGAGGTTCTGGAGGCAGCGAATTTGTTGATTACGGTCTCCTGGGTAGCGACGCTGTGTGATCTTGAAATTGGTCACCAGTATTTCGGACAAGGGTACTGCTTCGGTGAATCCTGAAGATGGAAGGGGCACGTTTTCCCCGAAACGCCATTTTCTAGTAGAACAGTTCCCACATAAAATAAACGTATGAATTGATACACAAGCCAGGGTTTTCAGACTACAGATTTATCTTGAATTTTGTGACGTTTAAGACTTAATGTACACCCCTACGGCGGCTTTCACAAAACAACAAACTCGCACAAACCGTCACAATTTTTTTTCTACAAACAATAACGTAAACCCCCTGACATGTGCCCCCCCTCGGATTTGCTACAACGCAGAAGTAGTTATTCCTCCGCGTTATCGTTGTTTGCGACCCTCGTCTCTCGTCACGCCATTTCTGTCCTTCCCCCCCCCCCAGTTCATATCCAGAAACAAAAATGCGAAAGGAGCCCGACTGCAGCTCGTCACGAGTATTGTTTGCGTTATTCTCCTGTCTCTTTCGGAGAAGAATGAAATTGTCCCAAAACTTTCTCCGGAGACGCGAACAGCGGACGAACCCTCGAGTATCAGTTACTAATTCAATTCATTTCATCCTCGATGTGGCCAGTAAAATTGAATAGCGAAAAAAATAGTAATTGTTCGTCTCAATTCTTTATTTTACCAAATTCGTAACTTCAGATTGTATTGTAGTAAGTTTTTTGACGTAAATACGTCTATAAGGAAGGGTCATTCCGCAAAAACGTGTTAGATCCATATCAACAATGTGTAAATATCGACCGACAACAATGGTCAGCTTGCGTGCATTGTTATGTTACCTAGGAAGCGTCATCTGTTTACTCGGCATTGTTGTGTTACATTACTGCCGTCAACAATCCGTTTTCGTAACAAGATGGATGACATTGAAGATAACATTACATTACAGAGACGTAAATATAATTTAAATACAGAGACGTATTTAAGTCAAATTCTCCGGAACCGTGGTTCCATTGTAAGCAACAGGTGTAACAACAATGGAAAGACGCAATCCGTAGAGCTCATTGTTGTTCAAAATAGTTTTCATGAGAAAATCAACGTCTTATTCACTTAAAGGAAGGAACTGGTTCGCACTGGAATGCACTTTTCTAGTTTTCATTGTTAATATTGCTAAAAATATATTAACTTTAGAATATTTGTTTGTTTTTCCGTTATTGGTTGTTGAAAGGATTTTACACTTCGAACAAAGAGTCAAAGTTCAACAAAAGGCGAGGAATTTGTTGGCAATCCGAGCGACTGTCAACTTTTTAAGGAAGCCTGTGATTCACGACGATACTTAAATGTCAAGTCGTCTTCTCGCCTGACATCTGTTTGCCTCTGGAAACAGAAGACTTCTTTATTGGTGTATCAGTGATCGTCGCAGGGGAGTGGGTCATCAGGCTAATACAGAGCCCCCCTACCTATCGGGCAGTTGTTTAGCTGCACCCCATTTCCGAAAACACACACGTCAACGGATGAATAGCTCGCGCACAGCCTCCGAACGGACCAATTTTGCGCTTCGTAACCGTCCAATAGTAAGCGATTTGGCGTCAGTGTGTCTGCCCCATTGTTGGCCAATAAAGCATTGTACTGTTTCGGGGGTGGCTACTGAGGGAGGGGGTTCAAACTAGGGGTGTCATTGTTGTAAGAGTCATTAATCACACGTTGACGCGACAGTAACATGGCACATGGGGTTTTGTAGTGCTGGCTGGGGGTGTAGGGTTTGGGGGGGGGGGAGTTGACGTTCACACCACTAAAGAGTGGGGTATTTTGGGGGTGTGGGGAACCTTCATTTATGCAGCAAAAATATTTTCATTTTTTGGACGTAAATTCGTCTATAAGGAAGGGTCATTCCGCAAAAACGTGTAAGATCCATATCAACAATGTGTAAATATCGACCGACAACAATGGTCAGCTTGCGTGCATTGTTATGTTACCTAGGAAGCGTCATCTGTTTACTCGGCATTGTTGTGTTACATTACTGCCGTCAACAATCCGTTTTCGTAACAAAATGGATGACATTGAAGATAACATTACATTACATTACAGAGACGTAAATATAATTTAAATACAGAGACGTATTTACGTCGAATTCTCCGAAACCGTGGTTCCACTGTAACTTTTTATTTGTATTTTAGTGTCTGTAATAGAATGACAAGGGAAATTAATGCGAACAGTAGCTTTTGCTTTGATAAACCTTACGTTCTGGGGTTCAGGCACCTCTCTAAGCAGCAGGGTTCGATTCCCGGCAATGCAGGACTCTTCTTTCGAAAAGTAATATGTCATGTTTCACACGTATACATTAGGGTGATGGTATCCGCGAGCTATGCGACTGAGACAGCGTTGTTAAATAAACTTGTGATAATGGGAAGGTGTACTCTTTGGAGTACAGCAAAATTCCAGAGACGTTCTTTACCGCCGCATCACGGGGATAACGTCACGTGTTCAACAAAGATAATAACAGATGCAACAATGACATCAAAGGCGATTGTTGAAATAAAGTTATCCGAGATGATCTAAGAATAATATAGCCTCGCATTGTTGTAGAAGTGTGTCCAACAATGACCTGAGTTAAATTTGTTGCTGGAAAGTGTGACAGACAGACAGACGCACATGGAAGGGGCCCATGTGTTCTTCGACGCATGCAAACTATAAGAATGCCAATTCCTTTCTATTGCCAGACTTTAAATGTTTTTTTTCGTTTATACGGGCCCGCGTATAGAACATTTCGCAATATTTTAATTACATGTTTTGACCAAACTTTGGCTCGCTGACCATTCTTTATCATTTGCAATTTTTCACACATTTATTTGCATCAAAAAATACCTGGTCTGAAACGACTCAGAAATGTGACTTAATGTAGATTAAGTAATGGCATTAACTCAACTTAATGTAAGAGATCTGAGGTTCTCACGGCGGTGAAATTTTTTTGGTATAGCTACTCTTAGCTGTGATGGCGTTTTGTTTATGGTTATTAACGTCTCAGATAAAGTTGTCGCCTCTTCACCGTGAAGATGGAAGCGGTACTTTCCTCCGAAACGTTGTTAAACCCCCACAGAGGTCATTCATCTTAGTTTTTTCTGACAAACATTAACAGAACGTTTCAAATCTTTGTGATTTTCACACCGGTGATTTTCCGAATGTGGTAGTTACCAATTTGTATGAAGGCGATAGAAATTTGCAGCTTAGCTTTAAATTCATTGGTGCTCTTTTAGGGATGGAGTGTGAATGGTGGAGTAGGGAAATGGAGTACGGCGAGGGTTAATTAATATGAACTAATGATGCTTCTTTCTTCTCTCTTTTACAGATATATAGTACATAAAGCGACGCTGGAGCAAGTGGGAGGACTTGTTGCAAAGTTCATTTATAAGACCGGAATATAATGCTGCTAGCGTATTCATTAAAACGCTGGTACTAATCACTCGTACTTAAAATGCAATGACATTACACCGGGGCTTAATGATGTTATATGCCAATATTTTAAAAAAAAAGACCACAAGGTACTCTAATTTACATAAAATAAAAGTTAATGCACTTCCTATGAGCTGAGGTCGTAATACGACAGAAGTTATGTTATTACAAAAAAAAAACATCTTCCGTTTTATATTAGGGACTTGTAATTGGGAGCTCTGAGTGTCCCAAATAACCC